TAAATGATTGTTTAGACTTAGGTACTTTATATCTAGATCACTTCTTTTTATCAGGTGATTTACTTGAAATTGAATATATTAACCAACTAACTTTAGAGGAAATAAAACTTTAGTTGTAAATAACGGATTTATATAAAATTAAACATCCAGCAGCTAAAGCTATACTTGCAGAGTTTAAATACGATGCAAGTAAAAACTTAGAGTTTTATTCGTTAATAGTTTGGCCAATCATCTTAAAGGCGATCGTCAAGTGATAGAGATTACTTAAAAGGAATTAAGTCTGGTTATTATAGAGGTAAATGAAGATTTACTTATCAAAATTTGGACATTTAACATAAAAATTTATAGTATTCTATAAAAAAAAAGGCATGGCCGGGTAAGGCAGAAATGCTTTACTTTCTTTTCGCTATATGCTGGAATACCTTTAGAGCTCTTAGAACTAGTAATACAGACTTCTTTTTGAAAAGCGGTATAATACAGTTACATTTTAAGAGATTAGGCAATCAGCAGGAAACCAATCTAGAGGGGCTTTTTAAGCATTAAACACCTTTAAGTAGTAGGATCCTCAGAGACTACACGCGAAATACCTTATTAAATATTATATTTAAAGGTAAAGATATAGTCCGGCCGTTAATGAAAATTAGCGGGTTAAAATCGTATGCCAGCTATGATAGGAGGATTTGGTAATTTTTATTGCCACTTTTAGTAGGGGTCCTGATATGGCATTCCCTAGATTAAATAATATAAGTTTCTGATTATTACCACCTAGTTTAATATTATTCCTTTTTGCTAGCGGTATAGAAACGGAGCAGGTACAGGTTGAACACTGTATCCACCATTAAGTGGTATACAAAGTCACAGTGGACTAGTGTTGATTTAGCTATATTTGCTTTACACTTATCTGGTATAAGTAGTTTATTAGGTGCAATTAACTTTATAACTACTATATTAAATATGAGAAGTCCAGGTATAAGATTACATAAATTAGCTTTATTTGGATGAGCTGTAGTTGTTACAGCTGTATTATTATTATTATCATTACCTGTTCTTGCCGGTGCAATTACAATGGTTTTAACTGATAGAAATTTTAATACATCATTTTTTGAAGCTGCTGGTGGTGGTGATCCTATACTATACAACATCTTTTCTGATTCTTCGGTCACCCTGAGTTTATATATTAATTATACTGGTTTTGGTGTTGTTAGTACTACTATATCTGCTAGCTCTAACAAGAGTGTATTTGGGTATTTAGGTATGGTATATGCGATGATGTCTATTGGAGTTTTAGGTTTTGTTGTTTGAAGTCACCACATGTATACTGTAGGATTAGACGTTGATACTAGAGCTACTTTACAGCTGCTACATTAATTATTGCTGTTCCAACTGGTATTAAAATATTTAGTTGATTAGCTACATGTTACGGAGGATCTTTACAATTAACACTTCAATGTTATTTGCTTTAGGTTTCGTATTTATGTTTACAATAGGTGGATTAAGTGGAGTTGTTTAGCTAATGCTTCTCTTGATATCGCTTTCCATGACACTTACTATGTTGTAGCTCATTTCCATTATGTTTTAAGTATGGGTGCTGTATTTGCATTATTTAGTGCTTGATACTTCTGAATACCTAAAATACTAGGATTAGATTACAGCCAATTTTTAGGTAAAGTACACTTCTGAATTATGTTTATTGGTGTTAATGTTACATTCTTCCCTCAACATTTCTTAGGTTTACAAGGTATGCTAGAAGAATTGGTGATTACCCTGATGCTTTCGCAGGTTGAAATTTAATAAGTAGTTTTGGGTCTATATAAGTGTAGTAGCTACTTGACTTTTCTTATACATTATATATATACAATTAGTTGAAGGAAAAGCTACAAGCAGATATCCTTGATTAACACTCAATTCTATAGCGATTCTTTACAAACATTATTAATAGAAGTTATAATAGTTTAGAGTGAGCATTAACTAGCCACCTAAACCTCATGCATTTGTGTCATTACCTTTACAAGTAAAATATCTAATCCTATACATAGATACTATTCAGGTATCTCTTCAGGTATTTGCTTCAGATGGTTAGTTATAATTTGTTTAACTAAGCTAATTAATATTTATATGTTAAATATTTTAATTTAATATTACGTGTATTTAATTCAATATTATCTAATCTAAAAGATATATGGGAAAGTTTACTAAAAGAATGTAATGATATGTATTTTTCTTATTAATGCGAACTATTCTACTCTTATTATTATTTTAGGTTTAACTATATCCTTTTAGTTACTATGCGATTTATATACAAGTCAATAGGAAACCAAGCATAATTATTCAAAAATTAACTATAAAGAAATATTATTTTAAAATTAAAAAATATAGCTAATAATCCTTTAACTACTGGGTTAATATTTATCTTTATGTTTTTATTAACAACGACCATAAGATTTACCACATGTTCTACATTGGGTATAGAGTATAAGGATTTTTTTTATTATGCTTTTTTGGCATTCTCTCTTGATTACCTATTACATATATATGTGGTGTATTAAACAGTATTATAATAAAATACAATCCTTTTAGTTTAATGTAGATTTTTCTTCAAGTTTTGCGAAAAAGAATATTACATACAAAAGCTATAAGATGAATTATTGTATTTCTTTGTTTGTACTTTATAAGATTAATTTTATAGATAATAGGAAATATTATTACCTATTTTTTTTCTGTAAATTATTGTTCTTCCAATAAAAATTCTATGTACTTTGAACCTGAAGATGACCTAGGTCAAATAACCCAAAAGGAGAAAAAAGCTACAGGTAGTTATAGCTCCATATGAAGGTAGAAGCGGAGGCATACTATAGAGTCAAGTTTAGGTATAAGTATATAACAAGTACCAGAAGCTTCAACTTCTTCAGCTTTAATTCTTCAACTTCTTCAACTTTTGGTACACAAGTACCAGAAGCTTCAACTTCTTCAGCTTTAACTATAGCTCCTGCTATAAATTGACTTTCAATTTTAACGTCAGCTAAAAATGAACGTAGAGAGCCTTAGCGAAGGAGATTTAGATAGAAGTAGTAATTACCTGATAGTAGGGCTAATAATAGAGATAAATGTCTAGTTATACATGAAAATAGCAGTTTGTTAATACCCAAAAATATGCAGAATCTGCAATTTTAGTAGAGCCGTCAGTATGACCGATTAAACTTAAAGATAGACCTGCATATATAATATTGGATAAATTAGGTATTAATTTAAGGACCCTAATAAAGATTACGATGTGTTCCTTCTTCTTTTTGAATTATAAAGAAGGTCTTTTATCTGAAATGTCAAAAATTTTAAAAAATGGGAAATTATGATTATAAAGATATACGGCTATTATTTAAATATACTCAGAGAAGTTTTAGTTGTTTATCAACAAGAAACGTGCTGCTAATAGATTAACTAAAGGGGTAGTATTCTGTTAATACTATAGCATCCGGGGGAAAATATTTTCAGGGTTGTATGGGATTATATTATAAAGAAGAACATTATATAAAAAGTCTGATTTATATATAATTCCACACGTAAACTCCAATTATAGAGATTATTTTTCTTTAAGATATCATCTTGGTATGCTAGAAGCTTTACTTGAAATATCGGTAGATTTTGGTAGAAGATATAGACGACCAGATGATCCTAGAAATTGAACACATAATCATCTTACTATGGTAAGAAATCATACTAAAACTGTATTTGATTATGTAGAAGAAGAAATAAGGAAAGCATATAAAAAGCCTATTATAATATTTAGAATAGAGGATATCAAGAATAATAAAAAATGACTAAATTAAAATTTAATTTAAGTTTATTTTGATTAATCTAACAAGCTTCTTGATGTATCATATATTGACACTTTAACCGGGTATCTATATCTTTCAGTTTAAAAGCATTGTTTTATAACTAACATTAACGGCGTTAGGGTTGTTAAAATATATATCCCAATTTATTAATGAAATAGCCAAATTTAAAGCATTGAATGGGTCTTATAAACATTAAAATTATTTTTAATGGTTATTTTGCATCAATGTTTTCCACGTAAACCTTTTACAAAAAGTTCTGATGTGAGTAAGTCTTTACTTATCTATACATCTATCAAATTCCATAAATACCATGCCACAGTTAGTTCCTTTTTATTTTATTAATCAAGTAACTTTTGCATTTGTTATATTAGTAACAATGATATATGTATTTTCTAAATATATATTACCAAGGTTTGTGCGTCTATTCTTAAGCCGTGTTTTTATAAGTAAATTATAAAATAATTCTATGATATAAAGGTTAACATAAGCATTAGCTTATGTTAAACCCTGAAAATTAAATTGTTTATGGGGTTATATTAGTATAATAATAGTCTCAAGTATTTCATCCTTAACTATATTAGTTACAATAAACTAAAAACAATAATTTAAATATAAATAATATATAATGAATTTAACCCTAGTACTCTTTTTAATCGGGATTTTAGGTTTCGTTTTAAATAGAAAAAATATAATATTAATGCTTATTTCTATAGAGATAATGCTTCTATCTATTACATTTTTAATATTGGTAAGTTCACTTAGCTTTGATGATATATTAGGCCAAACTTATGCTATATATATAATAGCAATAGCGGGTGCAGAATCTGCGATAGGTTTGGGTATACTAGTAGCTTTTTACAGATTAAGAGGAAGTATAGCTATAGAGTATAAATAATGTATTTAGCAATAATAACTTTACCTTTGTTAGGGTCAATAGTTGCGGGGCTTTTTGGTAGAAAAGTTGGAGTTAGTGGGGCGCAGTTAATAACATCTTTATGTGTAATTTTAAAACATTATTAGCAACAGTTGCCTTTTTTGAAGTAGGATTAAATAACATACCTGTATCTATAAATCTTTTCAGATGAATAGATAGTGAATCACTAAATGTGTTATGAGGTTTTCAGTTTGATAGTTTAACTGTGTCTATGTTAATACCTGTTTTAATTTTTCTTCTTTAGTGCACGTATACTCTATAGGGTACATGAGCCATGACCCACACAATCAAAGATTTTTTAGCTATCTTAGTTTATTTACATTTATGATGGTAATACTAGTTACAGCTAATAATTTTTTATTAATGTTTGTAGGGTGAGAGGGTGTAGGTATTTGCTCATATCTGTTAGTTAGTTTCTGGTTTACTAGAATAGCAGCAAATCAAAGCTCTATCTCTGCTTTATTAACTAATAGAGTTGGGGATGCCTTTTTTATGATAGGTATGTTTGCTATATTATGATCTTTTGGTAATATAGATTATAGCACTGTTTTCTCATTAGCTCCTTTTGTTAATGAAAATATTGTTACAATTATAGGAGTATGTTTATTAATAGGAGCTATGGCTAAAAGTTCTCAAATAGGGTTACATGTGTGATTACCTATGGCTATGGAAGGGCCTACACCAGTTAGTGCTTTAATACACGCTGCTACAATGGTTACAGCTGGTGTATATTTACTTATGCGTACAAGTCCTTTAATAGAATATAGTTCAACTGTTTTAATTTTATGTTTATGATTAGGTGCAATAACTACTGTTTTTAGTAGTCTTATTGGGCTATTCCAACAAGATATTAAAAAAGTTATTGCATACAGTACTATGAGTCAATTAGGTATGATGGTTATTGCAGTAGGTTTATCTTCATACAATCTTGCTTTATTTCATTTAGTTAATCATGCTTTCTATAAAGCACTGTTATTTTTAGGTGCGGGAGCTGTAATTCACGCTGTATCTGATAACCAGGATTTTAGAAAATACGGAGGATTAAGAGCATTCTTGCCTTTAACTTATTCTGTTATGCTGATAGCTAGTCTTAGTTTAGTTGCATTCCCTTTTATGACAGGGTTTTATAGTAAAGATTTTATTTTAGAATCTGCATATGGGCAATTCTATTTTAGTAGTACAGTTGTTTACTTTATTGCTACTATAGGGGCAATGTTTACTACTTTATACTCGGTTAAAGTTTTATATTTAACTTTCTTAACTAACCCGAATGGGCCTTTAACTAGTTATAAACACGCACATGAAGGAGATATCTTTATGAGTCTACCTTTAATTATATTAGCCATATTTTCTATATTCTTTGGTTATATAGCTAAAGACCTTTTTATAGGTTTAGGTTCAGGATTTTTTATGGATAATAGTTTATTTATACATCCTATGCATGAAACTATGCTAGACACAGAATTTGCTGTACCTGTTTTATTTAAATTATTACCTCTAATATTTACTATTTCTCTTAGTTTTTTAGCTATTATTTTATCTGAATTTTTACCATTAAGTTTAATTAATTTTAAATTAACTAGACTAGGTTATAATATTTTTAGCTTCTTTAACCAACGTTTTTTAATTGAACTTTTATATAATAAATATATAACAGGGTTTGTATTAAAATTAGGAGGTCAAACTACAAAAGTTTTAGATAGAGGTAGTGTAGAACTATTGGGACCTTATGGTTTAGAAAAAGGATTAGTAAATTTAAGTAAAAAAATATCTAGTTTAGATACAGGTGTTATTACTAGTTATGCTTTATACATCTTAATAGGATTTATATTTTATATATTAATTCCCTATTTATCTATGTTTGATTCTAGTTTACTTATATTAATTCTCTTACCTTTATTTAGTACAATAAAAAGTTAATGTTTAATTTAATACATTTAACTTAAGGTTTTTATTATTAAGTATTATTAGAAAAAAGTTTTTAAAATTTTATTTTCTTAATAAAACTAATGCGAAGTGGTGTAATAATAACATTGCTGATTAACTATCAGCAGTTAAAAGTGTAAATCTTTTTTTCGCTCTCTTATTATAGGTCTTAATGTTAACTATACTTATAATAATTACCACATTATGTGTGGTGTTAATCAAGATGAAATATATCTACCCTATATATTATCTTTATATATAATTATTAAATATATAGTATCCATATAGTATATAATACTAATGGACACTGTTGTACTTTAAGTTATACACGTGTTGCAGATGGTTCTGCTTTTATTATTTATATGTATTAAGGAAGTTCGACTCTTCCACACTTTATATAGTTAAAATAATTTGTATAAGTTTTAGTTTCACAAATTAATTTAATTGTAAAAACTTTACATCCTTAAATATTATATTGTTTAAACTAAACCATTAGAGAATTAAAATAGGGTAAGACGGTACTTACCTAGTTATTTAACTTAGCTAGTCCTAGTTTTTAGTTAAGGACTAACATAAGAAGTTATCTATATTTCTAAAAAATAAGTATTTAATGTTATCTGTATATAAAATGAGAATTTTTAAAAATCATCCTTTGTTAAAATTGGTTAATTCATATTTAATAGATTCACCACAACCTAGTAATATTAGCTATCTGTGAAACTTTGGTTCTCTATTAGCCGTTTGTTTAATAGTACAAATAGTAACAGGAGTTACATTAGCAATGCACTACAACCCTAGTGTATTAGAAGCTTTCAATTCAGTAGAACATATCATGCGTGATGTTAATAATGGTTGATTAATACGTTACTTACACAGTAATACAGCTTCAGCCTTCTTTTTTTTAGTGTATTTACACATAGGAAGAGGTTTATATTACGGGTCTTACAGAGCACCTAGAACATTAGTTTGAACATTAGGTGTAATTATTTTTGTGTTAATGATGGCTACAGGATTCTTAGGTTATGTTTTACCATACGGCCAAATGTCATTGTGAGGTGCGACTGTTATTACAAACCTTATGAGTGCGATTCCTTGAGTTGGACAAGATATAGTTGAATTTATTTGAGGTGGTTTTTCTGTTAATAACGCTACTTTAAATAGATTTTTTGCTTTACATTTTGTTTTACCTTTTGTTTTAGCTGCATTAGCTCTAATGCACTTAATTGCTCTTCATGACAGTGCTGGATCTGGTAATCCATTAGGTGTTTCAGGTAATTTTGATAGATTAGCTTTTGCTCCTTATTTTTTATTTAAAGATTTAATAACTATATTTATCTTTATAATTGTATTAAGTGTATTTGTATTCTTTATGCCTAATGTTTTAGGAGATAGTGATAACTATGTTGTAGCAAATCCTATGCAAACTCCTCCTGCTATAGTTCCTGAATGATACTTATTACCTTTCTATGCTATATTAAGATCTATTCCTAATAAATTATTAGGTGTTATTGCTATGTTTGGTGCTATTTTTATATTATTAGCTATGCCTTACACAGATTTAAGTAGATCTAGAGGTATACAATTCAGACCTTTAAGTAAAATAGCTTTTTATATGTTTATAGCTAATTTCTTAATATTATTGGTATTAGGTGCTAAACATGTGGAATCTCCATTTATTGAATTTGGACAAATAAGTACTGTTATTTATTTTGCTCACTTTTTAATAATAGTACCTCTAGTTAGTTTATTAGAAAATACATTAGTGGAATTAAGTATAACTAAATCGCATAAGGCTTAGTTATACACACAAAAAAAAAAGTATGTACATATAAATAATTATAGATTTTTTTAATGTTATTTAAAAGACTAGCACTTATATCTTAAGAGTTACATGTGTATTAGTAATATATTATTTCAAACATTGTCATATTACAGGTTAAACTTTGATCTTAAAGATATATAAGTATGTAGAGATATTTTTATACGTTTTTACGTAGAGATATGTTGCAAATGGTTTTGCATTTGGATTGCAGATCTATAATAAGGGGTTCGATTCTTCCATATCTCTATAATTAAAAGCTAATTAAAATAAAAATATAATAAGTCGCAAAATTTTTATAAAAATATTTAGTCACTACAGGAATTATAGTATATACTAATTATTGGAGTAATATTAGGTGCATTTATCTTAGGTGTAGCTAGAAATCTTACAATTAGAGATCTACTTTTTCATATACTATTTTTGGTACCATCTTCTTTAAAGTTCGTGTTTTATTTGCTTTAATGGTATACTTATGCATATAAATTTTATATTGATAATGTTTGTATATGTATTTATAAATTATCTGAGCTTTTACTGTTAAGTTAAATAAATATTTATTTTTATTATTGTATTGTTATATTTGTTCTGGTAATAATATGGAATAGAATTTAATTTAAATCAAAATTTGATTTAAATTTAAATTTAAATTTATTTTTACTTTCTAATATATCTAAATAAATTTTATTGCATTATATTGTATTAGGTATTAATATGAATTATTAGTAATAAAAGTTTTTATAAAAAAAAAAAAAATGATATACTTACCCACCTTAATATCTATAGTAGAAGTGCTATTAGTTACTGTGCCTGTGTTATTAACTGTAGCTTATTTAACAGTAGCCGAAAGAAAAGGATTAGCTAGCATGCAAAGAAGATTAGGGCCGAATACAGTGGGTTACTATGGTTTATTACAAGCATTCGCGGATGCCTTAAAACTATTGTTAAAAGAATATGTATCACCTACACAAGCTAATTTTGTGTTATTTTTCCTTGGTCCAATTATAACTTTAATATTTGCACTGCTAGGTTATGCTGTAGTACCATATGGACCTGGTTTAGCTATAAGTGATCTTAATTTAGGTATATTATATATGTTAGCTGTTTCATCTTTAGCTACATATGGTATATTATTAGCAGGATGAAGTGCAAATAGTAAATATGCCTTTTTAGGTTCACTTAGAAGTACAGCTCAATTAATAAGTTATGAACTAATATTAAGTTCAGCTATTCTTTTAGTAATTATGTTAACAGGTAGTTTAAATCTTACAGTAAATGTAGAAGCTCAAAGAGCCGTTTGATTTATAATACCTTTGTTCCCCATATTTATAATCTTCTTAATAGGATCTATAGCAGAAACTAATAGAGCCCCTTTTGATTTAGCTGAAGCTGAATCTGAACTAGTTAGTGGATTTATGACAGAGCACGCTGCAGTTATATTTGTATTTTTCTTTTTAGCCGAATACTCTAGTATTGTTCTAATTTGTGTTTTAACTAGTATATTGTTTTTAGGTGGATATTTATACGATATTTTACCTTTTTCTATATTTGGTTTATTCCAGTTTATAGATTTTGATTACTATGTAGAAGAAACTTTACATTATAAAGTGTTAGGTCCTGAATATTACTATAACCCTTTAACTGAAGGATTATATTATGGTCTAAGTTTAGGATTAAAAACTTGTATCATGACTTTTGTATTTATATGGGCTAGAGCTTCTTTCCCTAGAATACGTTTTGATCAATTAATGACATTTTGTTGAATAATTTTATTACCTATAGTTATTGCTTTTGTCGTTTTAGTTCCTTGTATATTATATAGCTTTGATATAATACCAAGTAATATTCCTTTACTTTAGTTTTTTTAATATAACTTTAAGTAAACCATACTCTTATTAGCTCAATGGTAGAGCAGGATACTTCTAATATCTAGATCTAAGTTCGAATCTTAGATAAGAATTAAGGTTTATAATTAGTTTATTTAAACTATGTTAAACTAGAAAAGGAATTTAAATCCTTATATACTTAAAGGGTATAATATAAATCCTTTTAAGTATGCGAAAAAAAAAGACAATAAAAATAAGGAGATAATAAAAATAATGACACATTCAAACATATTGAGAGAAATTGCTAGTCCCCTTGATCAGTTTGAAATAAGAAACCTTCTAAGTATGGAAGCCCCTATATTGGGAGATATTAACATATCTATTACAAATATAGGATTATATTTATTAATATCTACTTTTATAATTTTAAGTGGTAGTGTTTTAGCTACTAATTATAATAAAATTATAAGTAATAGCTGATCAATTAGTCAAGAAACATTATATGCAACAATACATAGTATTGTTACAAATCAAATAAACTCTGTAAAAGGTCAATTATATTTCCCTTTTATATATGCCTTATTTGTATTTATTTTAATTAATAATTTAATAGGTTTAGTTCCATATAGCTTTGCATCTACTAGTCATTTTGTATTAACTTTTGGACTTAGTTTTACTATAGTTTTAGGTGCAACTATATTAGGATTCCAAAAACACGGGTTAGAGTTCTTTTCTTTATTAGTACCAGCTGGTTGTCCTTTAGGTTTATTACCTTTATTAGTTTTAATTGAATTTATTTCTTATTTAGCTAGAGCTGTATCATTAGGGCTTAGATTAGCTGCTAATATCTTAAGTGGTCATATGTTATTACATATCTTAGCTGGATTTACTTATAATATCATGACTTCAGGATTTATATTCTTCTTTTTAGGTTTAATGCCTTTAGCGTTTATAATTGCTTTCTGTGGTCTTGAATTGGGTATTGCTTTTATACAAGCTCAAGTGTTTGTGGTATTAACAAGTAGTTACATTAAAGATGGATTAGATTTACATTAAGTGTAAGACATATTATATTATAAATTTTATAATATATATATATATATATATATATATATAAACTAAATGAAAATTTTGTAATTTTATGATTAGATTTTTTATTTTAAATTTTAGATAGGTATTTATACGTATGTTTAACCATAGGTATGGTTAAGATCAATAGGTATATTAAGAATAAATCTTATATTAATATAAAATTTGCATATAGATTTGTTAAAGTCCAGTGTTTATTAAACTTATACAGGTATAAAGTGTTAAAGCTAAAGTTTTTGGTATAGTACAGAAAAATTTTTTAATATACAAAATTTTGTATATGAAATACATTTAAGCAAGTCTATCTTGTTTATTACGTAGTATTATGTTAAAATACAAGCCTACAGTTA